GGCCCAGCCCTGAGATGTGGCAGCCATTTGGGGAGTGAACCAGTAGATGGAAGATCAACCACTTGAATTATCTATCTATCTATCTATCTGTCTGTCTGTCTACCTACCTATCTATCTATCTATTCCTCTCTCCCATAACTCTGCCTTTCAAATAAATAAATCTTTTCTAAAAAATTGAAGTAAGTTATACATAACAAAATTTTAACCATTTGATTTAAAAATTTTTTCTATTTACTTATTTGAGAGGAAGAGAAAAACAGACGATGTGACAGAGAAAGCTCCCATCTGCTGGTTCACTCCTCAAGTGTTCTAAAAGGCCAGGGCTGGGTCTAGGCTAATGCTAGGACCCAGGAACTCAATGCAGGTCTTGGACGTAGGCAGTGGAATCAATCACTTTGAGCCATCGCTGCTGCTCTGTGCAGTCGGCATTAGCAAGAAGCTGCCATCAGGAGCACAGCCCGGTATTAAACTGAGGTACTCTGGTGTGGGTGTCACAAACAGAGTCTTGACCCCATTTTACCCCGTTTCAGATGTAAAAGCATAATGCAGTGGCACTAACTTCATTCACATTGTTTGGCAACACTTTTTCCATCTTCCCAAACTGAAATTCCATACTCAAATATTAACTCCCCACGTATGACAAGTTTTTAAAATCATTTAAAAGTAGAGAAAAGAGCAATTTTTAAGAGACATCTTTCTCCACTTTTCTTCCCAGCATGTTGCTGTCTTTTCCCGCTATGGTTAGTAGGAATCCTTTCGGAGCTCACTTGAATGCAGCTAGCTGTTCATTCCTCACAGCCTTTTCCTGCAGGCTGCTGGGGCTCCTTCCCAGCCTTGCAAAAAGAGCCCCAGACGGGATTAACAGCTGCTTCCCAATTCAGAATCAAGGCTGCAGTGTGTATCTGTGGCTCTCAACACATCACAGTTGCTGTGCAAAGAACAGGTGGGGCTCTGATCACCCGGTAGATCCCTGGGAACCCCCATCCTGAATGCCAAACAATGACCCACAGAGGAAAGTAGCTTGTTTTCTCTGGTTAATAATCCCTCTGAGAGGGACCCATGAGCCAGTCTGAACTGGCAGTGCTGCGCCGCTTGGCACCCATCCAGAGTTTTTGTTTGCTGAGCCAGACCGTGCTTGAGCTGTAATGTGGCAAAACTTGTCAACACTCAAGGCTTTCCTCTGTGTGCTAAACACACGTGAGGCCCACTGGCCCTCCACGCTTCTCTGATCTTTTCTGGGACAAGGAAGTGTCTTATGAAGAAAAAACCTGATAATCAAGAGGAATAATTTGTGCATCAGAGAGGCAAATTCTGAGCAGTTGACAAATTTGTTACAACTATTTTTAGTTAGGGATATTAGCCTAGATAACTCTACATGGGTTTTGCCCACAGAACTTCTGTGCTCAAAATACGTATGATGACCTCAAGGAAGTTTGCAAAGGCCAAAATTACTTAATTAAAAAAAAAAAAATAGACTTGTGTCAGTGCCCCAGAAAGGCATCCACTGGAGCTCAGGCTCCTGACTTCTGTGTGGCCCAGCTCTTGCTGTTGTGGCCATCTGGGGAGTGGGAGTGAATCAACAGATAAAATCAACCAACCAATCGATCGATCAATCTCTCTGTGTGTCTCTGTGTGTGTGTTGTTCTGCCTTTCAAATACATAAATTTTTTAAAAATATTTTTGGAGAAAAATTTTTAGCTTAAATATGTACTATTGTATTATTTCAGTCCACTGTGCCAATATATAAGGTAGCATGGGATTCCTTTGTACATAATTAGGTCACATGCCATAATCGGTTTCATGCTGCAGCCTTATTTTCCATGGAATTAAATTAAGCATATCCCGTGCTAGGATAATACATCTGTCATTTCTTACATTGGACCTAACTTAAGTTATAAAATGCTAAAAAATAGAAAGTCCAATAAAGGTTCCTTTCATTGATGAATGTGCTTCTTGTATAGCTATTTTCTCATCATGAAAGAATAAAGGTAAAGGATTGTCTTATGTGAGTTTATTTAGAAAAATCCGTAAATACATCAGATGATGTGGAGCTAGCCTGAGGGCATTTGCTGTGACAAGACTTTAAGTTCATCAAAATTTGGATTTGCTCTAGTTTTGCCTTGGTGCATTCTGGTGAAGCACATGTATTATGGCCAAGAACCTCACACACTTGGAGTGACCTTGGCTTCAAGCTGTGAAAGAAAATGCATTCATTCATCCACTTGAGAAATATTTATTGAGCATTTACTATGCTTCAAACACTGTTCAATGACTGGGGACATGGCAGTGAACTAAAGAAGGAGGAATCTCTACCTTTGTCCATTCTAGAGGGGGAAAACAACACACACACACACATACACGGTTATATAGTATGTTAGTGAGGCAATTCAATGCTATGGAAAAACATAATAACTTGGAGCTTAGGGATGAAGAGTACTGCGGAGGGAATCTGCAATTTAAAATAGTGTTGTCCAAATGGGCCTACTGAGAAAGGTAATATCTGAGCAAACACTTGGAAGAGGCAAGAGAGTGAGACATGAGAATATCTGAGGGAAGAACCACAATTGGTGCACGCAGAGGCCCCGAGGTGGCAGCAAACCTGCCAGAGGCCAGGGTGGCCAACATACACGGAATGAGTAAGGAAAAATGTAGCAGGCCAGCAAGATAACAGAAACCAGAAATAAGAGGGCAGGTGGGAGACTGGACAGAGTCCTAAAGGACTTCAGCTTCTGCTCGGAAATGCTGAGCCAGTGGACAGTTTTGAACAGAGTGGGAAGATACAGCTTTCATTTTATAAAGATCACCACGGGTACTGTTGAGGTTGGATTGTAGGGGGCAAAGATAGAAGCCGAGAGACAGCTGGAAAGCATCTCCAGTGATCCAAGTGAGGAATGAGAGTAGCTTAGACCAGGGTGGTAGCAATGGAGGCAGTGAGAGTATTAGTGACTGGGTTCTAGATGTATTTTGAAGGTAGAGTTAACAGGACTTCCTGAGAGCCTGGGTATGGAGAGCGAGAGAAGGAGAGGAAAGGTGTGTGACTCCCAGGTTTCCAGCCTGGGCAACTAGAAAGGGGAGAAGTTTCAGGAAGAGGCTGTGTCATTGTCTGTTCAGGCTGCTGGACCAAATTATGGTAGAGTAGATGGCTTAGAAACAATAGAAATGTATTTCTTCCAGTTTTGGAAACTGGGAAGTCCAAGACCAAGGTGCAGCAGATTCAGTGTCTAGTGAGGCCCAAAAGAAGCTCCTGGCTCCTGGCCTCTGATTGGCTCAGCTCCAGCCATTATGGCCATTTGGGAAGTGAACCAGTAGATAGAAGACCTCTCCCTCTCTGTATCTACCTCTCTCTGTAACTCTGTCTTTTGAATAAATAAAACAAAACAAAAAAAAAATCCAACTAAAGAAAGATGTGCTATGAAGCTATTGCATTTGCAGGTGTTATTTTGAATCTCTTTATGTCCTCCTTAATTTGGCCATTAGGTTCTGAATGAAATAATGAGAGACATGATACTTTGTAAAGATTATTTTTATACCATTTAAAAAATCAATATTGCCAAATATTTTAGTTCACTCAGGCTACCATGCAATCTCTCATAAACTGGATGGCTTAAACAATAGGATTTTCTTTCTCGCAGTTCTGGAATCTGGAAAGTTCAAGATCAAGGTGCTAATGGATGCGGTTCGTGGGGAGGGCCTCTCCTTGGCCTGCAGGTGGTGACTGTCTTGCAGGCTCACATGGCCTTTCCTCAGAATATGCACACCTAGAAAGAGAAGACAAGCTGTTTGCTGTCTCTTCTTACAAGGACACTAACCTCTTTTTGACCCTCAGGACTTCATCTAACCGTAGTTACCTCCCAGAAGTCTCATCTCCAAATGCTATTGCATGAGGGTTGGAGCCTTAATGTATGGTTTTTGAAGGGTCACAAACATGTTGTCAGCAACACTATAGCTAAGATAGTACAATCGCATGCAAACATTTTTTGTGTAATTTTTTTCTAGCAGAGATAATTTCAAGTTTTTACAAGTAATCAAAGGTTAGGACTACTGATGTAGAGTTCACGGCTTTTTTAAAAATGGATCCCAAGGACATGGAATTGTATTACTAGTACATTACTCTAGGAAGGCTCTCTCATGTTACTATTCATATATAGCGTCATTTCAGTGACATGATAGCAACTGTTTCACACTAACTGGCTCTCTTTGGGGAGGGGATGCTGATTGGTAGATTTGTCAGTAATTATTATGGTGTAAAAACTCCCATCATGGTCCACTTCAAGCTACCAATGTGAAGCCACTTGTGCCTGGAAAAGGGTGCACACAGTAGCCTCTGGGGAACCAGTGGAAGCCAGCTCCAGCCACCAATGTCTTACTAATATGCAGATGAATCCTGCTGCTGCCTAAAATCAGCACATTTTTAAAATAACAATAATAAATGTAGAAAATAAAAACTGAAAAGGCAATTTTAAAATGTTAAAGAATACATTTTCAAGACTAAAAAAAGTGACATAACAAAACTTCAGGAAACTGAATTTCCTGCAGGTATATGTCACACATTATTTAATTCTCAGAACCCTGTGGCACAGATATTATCAACTTTTATTTTTAAATAAGGAGTATTAGTACAGGAGCATAATTCATTCATCCAGGATCACACAGATAATAAATATTACAGTCAAGACGTGGCCCTAGGTCCCCCAACTAAACCAAAATCTCCCTTCATCCAGTGCCCCAAACTTCAGAGTACTCTCCATGAATTAGTAGGAAAAATTCTGATGTATTAATCACCAAATCAGTGGCATAACACTGGTACATTAATTACCTTTTCCATATTAAATGGTAAGCCATTAGATTAAAAACATTTGATGACCTAATTTTTGCAATAGATTTATTCTTCTTGGAGTACACATATTCCCCAAAAATTACCAAATCCTGTGTCAGGGTAGAAAGAAGAAAATAGTATTTGTGTCCTTTTTAAAATTCCCTGCTTTTGCATTCCTCTGAAGGCTACTACATGTACATCGAGGCCTCCCACATGGTGTACGGACAGAAAGCACTCCTCTCGTCCAGGCCTCTGCGAGGTGTCCCCGGAAAGCACTGCTTGACCTTTTTCTATCACATGTATGGAGCCGGGACTGGGCTGCTGAGTGTTTACTTGAAAAAGGACGGAGGCCATGAGGAGTCCCTGCTATGGAGAAGAAGAGGTGAACAGAGCATTTCTTGGCTACGAGCACTGGTTGAATACAGCTGTGCGAGGCAACACCAGGTGAGCCAAAGAGAAATATCAAGCAAAGGAAACCACGCACCTAAGCTTCTTGGGATTCTTTCTTTTTCTTGCTGCTAAAGAGAATGCTTTGTTCTTTTTCGGGGTCATGGATAAGGGAAGGGTTAGTTTAAGAGCAAGCATAATTAGTCTATAGATTAAATCTAAGCAGTGAATGAGAAATTAGATGGGAAGAGAGAGCTTCGGGTGTTTATATATGAAGTTATTGGTTGTTCTTTTGAGATTCAATGATGTAAGTGTATCACATTATGACTGTAAGCATATTTCCATGTGTCCTGCAAATCCCCAAAATGCAGTCTTCCTTTCTTCTAAATGAGTATGGTATTAATTAAATAGTTGTTGGAACTAAAGCTTTTACTCATTACCCACATATGTGTGAGGGCTTTGGTTTTAAGCCTCTTTTAACAGTGTGAGTGGTCAGAGTGAAGTTTTTTTGTTTTTTTAACTAAGAGTTGGAGGAAGGTTAATGATGAGTCAACTTCAAACCCTATTCATTCATTCATTCATTCGTTTTAGAAGCAGAGAGAGAGAATGAAACAAAAGGAGTGCTCCCATCCATCTGCTGGTTCACTCCCCCAAATCCTACAATTGATAGGACTGGTTGGAGCACAAGGCAGGAAACTGGAACTCCATGCAGGTCTCCTAAATGGGTGGCAGGAATTCAATTACTTGAGCCATCTACTGTGGCTTTCCAGGGTCCAGAGTAGCAGTTAGCTGGAAGCAGAAGGCAGAGCAGGGTGTCAGACTTGGGCACTGCAGTGTGAGATGTGGTGTGCTGACTGGCGTCTTAACTGCTAGGCTGAACACCCAGCCCAGAATGAGTGTTTGAGGCCTCTGCCTGCATTACTACACTGTTGCAGAAGAAACTGAGAGTCTTGAACCCAAGCCCCTAGATCCCCCACAGGGCTTCTCCAGTGAGCTGTAGAAGACCTCCATCCTAGACAATCTCAATCTTGAGGGAATCTGGGAACCAACAGGAAAGATCACATTTAGATTCCAGTACACGAGGCAGAGCAGCCCACCTGTTTGAGAGGGCAGCTTATCTAATGGCTGCTAGGTTCCACTGCCTACCATGAACCAAACTCTAGAAAGCTCCATGGGATAACCTTCCAATGCCTGGCTGTTCTTGCAATTGCTCTGTAGAATTCTCAAGCATGACCTCAATTAAAAACCCCGCTTCCTCGTCATCCTTGGAGATGCTGATCAACCTCCTGGACCGGCACTCCTTAGCTTTAATCATTAACTGCTGATCCAAGCCCAAATCTTCCAAAATAAGAGCTTTAGTGTCCAAAATAAGAGCTTTAGTTTGCGTAACCCCACAACCAAAAGTAGTTTTCTGTATTTCTAAATGGGCAGGAGCTGCCGGAGTTCAGGTGGCCAGGGTGCAGTGCCGCCCAGGGTGCTACATTATTAAAGAGAAAATGAGGGGCTAGGGCTGTGGCACAGCAGGTTAAAGCCTACAGCACCGGCAACCCATATGCATGCCAATTCGACTCTGGATGCTCCACTTCCCATCCAGCTCCCTGCTAATACACCTGGGAAAGCAACAGAGGATGGCTCAAGTCCTTGGGCCCCTGCACCCATGTAGGAGTCCCTGAAGAAGCTCCTGGCTCCTGGCCTCTGATTGGCTCAGCTCCAGCTGTTGCAGCCATTTGGGGAGTGAACCAGTGGATGGAAGACCTCTCTCTCTGTCTCCACCTCTTTCTGTAGCTCTTTCAAATAAATAAATAAAAATCTAAAAATAAATAAATATGAAGTTTAAAAAAAAATAAAGAGCAAATGACAGAGGCAAGAAGTACCATTATCCAGAAAAAGACTCTTATTGTGGCACATATAAATTGTTGAGAAATTTAGTGAAAATTAACAGAGAGTCCCAGGAATGATTTTGATAGTGATTTAATATCTGTCTGCAGAAGGCAAGTGGATCATTCAGAAATGTACTAACATAATTGACCATCATTTGGAGAGGATTGCTTGACACTATTAAGCTGTTAGGATACTGCTTTCACATGGCTCTCCAAGTGTGGCCCAGGTACCAGCAGTGTCAACAATTCCTGAAATGCGGATTCTCAGGCCCTGCCTCAGACCCACTGAGTCAGACACTCCAGGGATCCTGGGGGCCCCAGAGATTTGTTTTGATAAACTCTCCAGGTGACAGTCTCACCTGCTACAGATAATCTCTGTGTTGGACCACATGAATCTGTCTCTTTGGGTATGGTGCCTGAGCACTGATGGAACTCCCCAGTAAGGCTGACACACACACACGTGCTCCAAGAGGTCAGTTCTGGGGAACAGCAGCCTCTCAGCATCTAAGCCCTGGGTCTGGGCACAGGGCTTTGCTCCCTGGGAACTTGCTGGGTAGCTGGTCATTTGAAATGTTTTCTGAGTACATAGTAGAGAGGCATCTGGCGTGGCCTCCTGGGGGGTTGAAGTTCAAAGGATGCAGGAAGGCCCTGGAGATTTCCAGCTCACAGTCTGGAAGGGAGACTCCAGATGGCCCCTTTGGCTTAGAACAGAACAGGTAGGAATCTTCTCCTCTGGGCATAGTGATTCCCTCGGGGATCCCCAACAACTTCAGGGAGGCCAGACTGAGTTAGTAGTGCCCAAACATCACAGTTTCTAAAAAAATGCAGACAGCACTCCTGTGCACATAGATCGGCCAACTTTTATGTGCCAGACACTTACAATGCTAAGAGCTGTACGTAAGTTCTATCACTCTCTTTTCTTCAAATTATAAAAAATGGATTTGAAAGGCAGAGACAGAGACAGAGGGAGAAAGAGAGGAGGAGGGGAGGGGGAGGGGAGGGAGGGGAGGAGAAGAGGAGGGGGAGAGAGAGAGAGGGCAGGCTATGAGATCTTCCATGGCTGGTTCACTCCTCATATCAAATGCCCACAATAGTTGAGGAGGTTGGGTCAGGATGAAGCCAGGAGAGCTTGGAACTCAATCTAGGTCTCCACGTGTGGTGGCAGGGACCTAAGTACTTGAGCCATCACCTGCTACCTCCCAGGATGTGCATTAGCAAGAAGTTATAATTAGATATGGAGCTGGGAAGCCAGCATTGTGCCACAGGTTAAGCTGCCACTTACAATGCCAGCATCCTCTATCATAGTGCTGAATCAAGTCCCAGCTGCTCTGCTTCCAATCCAGCTCCTTGATAACATGCCTGGAAAGGCAGCAGAAGATGGCCCAAGTGCTTGCACCCCTGCCACTTATGTTGGAGTCCTGGATGGAGTTCCTGCCTCCTGGCTTCCACCTGGTGCAGCCACAGCCGTTGCAGCCATTTGGGGAGTAAACCACTGGATAGAGGATAGCAGTCTCTTTCTCCTTTCTTTCTGTCTCCATCTATCATGCTATCTTTTTTTTTAATAGAGATTTATTTCATTTATTTGAAAGACATAGTTACAGAGAAAGGTAGAGACAGAGAGAGAGAGAGGTCCTCCATCTGCTGGTTCACTCTCCAAATGGCCGCGATAGCCAGAACTGTGCTGATCCAAAGCCAGGAGCCAGGAGCTTCTTCCAGGTCTCCCATGTGGGTGGAGGGGCCCAAGGAGTTGGGCCATCTTGTACTGCCTTCCCAGGCCATAGCAGAGAGCTGGATCAGAAGTAGAGCAGCCAGGACACGATCCAGCACCCATATGGGATGCTGGCACTGCAGACTGGGGCTTTAACTTACTGCGCCACAGCGCCGGCCCTATCATGCTATCTTTCAAATAAATCATTTTTTTTAAAGTAGAGCTGGGACTCAAATCCAAGCCCTCTGATATGGGATGCAGGCATCCTAAGGGCTGTCTTAACCACTGTGCTGAAAACAAGCCCCCACGTCAATTTTATGGCCCCATTTTATAGATGGAGAAAAGTAAATGTCCAGTTGGCTGTGATTGAGTGAGAACTCAGACCCAGAGCTGCCTGGTTCCTGGGTTTTTACCTTAAACCACTGCTCTACATGCCTCACCCATAGAAGTTTCATGCTATCTTCATTCAGCTGAGGGTCATGATCACCGGTGACCTCATGCTCTGCCAGCTGACTCCCACATTCTCATAGTAGGGTAGGAATTCATGCCATGCTGATGTGGAGTTAGACTGAGGGTTCAATTGACCAATGATGTGAAAGGCTTTTGTAGAGTTTTAAGAGCCAACATGTAAAAGATATAATCACTGTTTCTAAAAATATGTTGCCTCTGAAATTTCCCCACTCTCTAATTCCTATCACCAGGGCAGAACTGGTATTCTACCATTTTAGCCACCCAGACTGTGCTCCTGTAGTTTTAAAGGCAAAATATCTATGTTAAGAAATATTTTTGACCATTCGCTCTTCTAGGTGTTAAAGATATTGCCATGCATGTAACATATGAAGTTCTCGTTTGTTTGGAGTATGTTTTGGTAAGAGAGAGGCAGAAAACGTGAACCAAAAATACATCACATGAGATCATGTGATAAGGATACACCAAGCTGAGCTCATAAAAGCAGAGTAGAATCACAGGCACAAGAGGCTGAGTTGGAAGGTAAGGAGGGATGCAGAGAGAAGGAATGAGAAACTGTGGGTCAAGAGCTATGAAGTTTCACATAGTAAGAATGGGCCAGGCTTCATGGTGCAGCAAGTTAAGGCCCAGCTTGGGATGCATGCATCCCATATTGGAGTGCCTGGTTATATTCCTGGCTGCTCCACTTCCAATCCAGCTCTCTGCTGCTGCATCTGGATGATGGCTCAAGTACTTGGGTCTCTGCTGCTCACATGGGAGACCCAGATGGGGTTCCTGGCTCCTGGCTTCCGCCTAACCCAACCCTGGCTATTGTGGCCCATTTGGAGTGAACCCCATGGATGGAAGATCTCTCTCTGGCTCTCCTTCTCTGTCACTCTGCCTTTGAAATAAATAAGTCTTTTTAAAAAAAATAATGAGAATAAATTTTGATTTCTGTTGCACAGCAGGGTGACTGTAATCCATAATAATGCATTGTTTATTTCAAAATAACTAAGAGTACATTTCAAATATCTCAGCACCAAAAAATGAAGAAAGGGAGTGAGTGTTTGGCCTGGTGATTTACATGGTGATCGAGATGCCTGCCTCTCATATGGAAGTACAATACCCACTTCTGGCTCCTAACTCCAGCCACCTACCAGTGCAGACCCTGGGGAGTAACTGATGGCTCAGTTGATTGGGTTCCTGCCCACAACACGCAAGACCTGGATTGTGTTCCTTGCTCCCATCCTTGGCCTTGGCTTTTCCACAGCCCTTGTGGGACTTTGAGGAATGAACCAGCGAATGGGAGCACATGTACTCTCTCTTTCTCTCCCGCTCCCTCCATCTCTTCCTCTCCTTCCCTCCCTCTCCTGCTCCCCTCAAATAAATAGGTAAATAAACATGACAAGTAAGGGAAGTGATGGATATGTTAATTAGCTTGATTTAGTCATTTCACTTTACATAGATATTTAAACTTCATATGGAACTCCATACAGCAGCTAACAAAAACAAAAACTCAGCTCTCTAAAGATATGATGTTATCAAAAGGAATATAGGTCAATGCAATGTTGAAACAGGATTGTTTTGAACTAGTAGTCACACAGTATCTGCAAGATGTTGAATATTGGTGTTGCTCCTGAAGTCTCAAAGTGTCCCCTGGCACCTCTGTGAATGCTCTTGGGCACACAGCCCTACATCTGTTGTGTTTATTCTGTAAACAAACAAGTATTTGTTCAACAGATACTGCAGAATAGATTGGTTAGTTCTGAAGTACACAGACACATCAGTGTGGGAAAGACGTTACTACACAGGGGGAGCATGATGCTAGAAAATGGTCTTCCTTGAAGTATTAAAGACATTCAAAAGGGAGAAGACTGAAGACATCAAGTGGCCAAATCACAGACTCTTCTGAATGTAATGTTTCCAGGTGACTTGTGTATTGTGTATTGTGCTTCCATTGCAGACCTGGGAGTCAAAAAACAGATTTTATTGTTGTTCAGTAAACCAAAATGCTTTCATTTTGGCCCTCCTATCTAGATCTGTCCTCCTGTATAGAGTGTTAGGACATCCTTTCCCTCGCCTTGACATTGATATGGATTTTTTAATAAGATTTATTTATTTATTTTTTGAGAGGCAAAGAGATCGATCTTCTATCCACTGGCTCATTCCCCAAGTGGCTGCAACAGCCAGGACTGTGCCAGGACAAAATCAGGAGCCACGAGCTTCTTCCAGGTCTCCCATGTGTGTGCAGGGGCCCAAAGACTTGGGCCATCTTCTACTCCTTTCCCAGGCCATCAGCAGGGAGCTGGATTGGAAGTGGAGCAGCTGGGACTCGAACTGGTACCCATATGGGATTCCAGCAATGCAGCCTGCAGCTTAACCCACTATGCCACAGTGCCAGCCCCGATATGGATTCTTATTTGGGGTTGTGTGTTCATCAGGTTTCTCTGGAGAAATAGAGCCAATCAGATACAGATAGGCTGATAAGTAAGAGGGGAAATTGTCTGGTGATCATAGAGGCTAAAGAACCAAGGAACCTGATAGGGTAACTCAGTCCAAGTTCAAGGCCTGGAAACAAGGGGAGCCAATGCTGTGACCCTTACTATGAGGCCAAAGAACAGAGTGATAGCAGGACTTCTCATCCAAGTCCTAGAGTTTAAAGGTCAGAGAACTTGGAGTTCTGGTGTCCAAGAGTAGAAGACTGTCTCAGCTCCAGCAATCACAGCAAATTAGCTTTTCCTTTATCTTATTGTTCTATCTAGGACTTGACTATCTAGGACATGACTGAATAGTTCCTATCCACACTGGGTGAGACCTGATTCAGTGCACTGACTCAAATGCAGATCTCTTCCAGAAGCACCCTCACAGGCTAATCCAGAGATGATGCTATCTGGGTGTTCCTTAGTCCCATTGACACCTAAAATTGGTCTTTACAACTTGTGTCCTTAGAATTTTTATTAATATTATTTTGCCACATGTCTGACATTAAGGCTTTTTTGAGTCATTAATTTCAAGCCAATTTCATAACCTTATTAATTATTCAATTTATTTTTTATTTAATGTGGGGAGCTAAATGAAATTGGTTTAAGGGCTTTCTTAATTTAATTTAAATCATAAACTAGTTCAATGGGAAGCCATTTGTTCATAAAATGAGTACAGGCAATGAATGTGTCTTTTGAACAATTTTCTTTACCCACTAGCATCCATGGAATATTCAGTAGGTTATTAACCATCATTGGGGCAGCCTTAGAGCTTAAATTAATCTGTTTTTCCTAGAACCTTTGACCAGTGAGCCTTTGAATATTTGACCAGTTATTTTCTTCTCAGAATCTTAAGTCATAATACAATTCCTGCTTCTCCCTGCACTGTCTCTCTTTGATGTTGTGGATTTACCATGATAAGTGAACCATTATATTTTGCATTATTGTGTTTTCTGTCCATACATGAGTATTATCAGCGACATTAAATTGGACCATCTAGTACCAGTATCAAAGGAAATTGGAGCTGTGGGTGGAGTGTTGGCAGATGCTGGTGGGGGGTGGGGAACCAGGTCACCCTCGGGGAGCATTTCTAGGTAAGTATTTCTGAGAAATAGCTTACAGAGACCCCAGGAGAAAGGAACCTGAATCTCGAAGGCTGCAGTAATTTGTTGTGTTTCCTTAAATTCCAAATATTCTCTCAGTATGTAGATTTCCGTTTTTAATTTTGCATCCTTTTCCCTAAGGGAAAGGAAAGGCTCACAAAGCTTCAATCTACCTGACCACTGCTATTTTATCAGATGATGCTGTTTCTAAATCCAAACTTCATTCTTTTTTAGATAATTTTTGAAGCCATTCGCGGGGTGTCAATAAGAAGTGATATTGCCATCGATGATGTGAAATTTCAGGCAGGACCCTGTGCAGGTAATAATATGTTTCCAATATTATATTATATTTATTATATATAATTGGATTAAAAATCCATTTTCAGTCTATAGCATGCAAATATTTTCATAACTAAGATAGAGAAAGCTATTATTTTCTGTTTATCTCCCGACAGAAATGGAAGATACAGCTCAACAGTCATCAGGATATTCCGAGGACTTGAATAAAATTGAATATTAAGAAATTATCTGAATTAGACCGACTAAGCAAAAGTCATACCTCTTTTTGGTCAAAATGAAAGCAAAACAAATGAATACTGGACAGTCCTTAACTGTTTCATAAGTTATAAAATGACTTTGAAGCACCCTTCTTCATTATTTGTGCAAAATGATCCTGACTCAGGGCTTTTTTTATTTGTTTCTTTTTGCATTTGACAACTGTTACTAGAAGTACAGGCTGCTGGTTTTGCATACATCTTTCATCTAAATTTTGGTACCAGGTAAAAACATAAATGTACTACGCTGTAGTCATTTTAAAGTACACAAATAAAGGGCACAATCGAAGTGATACGTGCTCACTCAGAGCTGCATTCAGTGAATGTACTGGGAAGCGAGTAGGGCTTGTGAGCTTCTTTTTGAATTTCAAGTTTCATAAATATTTTTGAAGTAAATAATGCTGGGTGTCGGTAATATCTGCAGAATGAATGCAGTATTTCATTAACAAGTTAGTCTGGGAAAATAAAGTCTTATTTTCTATGTTTTATTCATGGAAATGGAGTGTTAATTTTTAATCTTTTCACCATATGTGATAACAAAAGGTCTTTTATGAATGTCCCAGGGTAAGTCAGTATTAATTAATGCTGTATTACAAGGCAATGCTACCTTTGTTTTTTTCTCTTTGAACTACCTTTGAAAGTCACTATGAGCACATGGATAGAAATTGCACTTTTTTTGTAAAGCAAGCTTGAAAATGTTTATGAACACATACCCAATAATTTTTATAAACAATTTTACAAATTTTTTATAATAAATGATTTGGTAAGGTTTTGAATAATAGGAATTTAAGCAGATATGCTAAACTACTGCTTTTTATTTACTTGTTTAGAAAATTGTATATATGTGCATCAAACAGCTGTTTATGGAATTATAAAATTAGCCAATAAAAAGTCATTTGAAATTAACGCAGTTCTATGCTTTTTTCTTTATTGGATTATCTCCTTTAGTAACTACATAGTCTAATTTGAATCTCTACTGTGTCATAGAGAAATGCTTTTTAGCCTTTATTTATTTATTTATTTATTTTATTTATTATTTATTATTAAAGATTTATTTAGTTGAAAGGCAGAGCTACAGAGAGGCAGAGGCAGAAGCAGAGAGAGATCTTCCATCCATTGGTTCACTCCAGATGGCCACAATGGCCAGAGCTGGGCCAGTCCGAAGCCAGGAGCCAAGAGCCAGGAGCCAGGAGCTTCTTCCAGGTCTTCCACATGGGTGCAAGGGTCCAAGGACTTGGGCCATCTTCCACTGCTTCTCCAGGCCATAGCAGAGAGCAGGATCAGAAGTGGAGCAGCCAGGACTCGAATTGTTACCCCTTTTAAAAATGCCGGCCCCTCTTTTAGCCTTTTTTATTTGTAACATAAATGTTGCATGCATTGATAGAATAAGTTTTTAAAAAAATCTCATTTCACATAAACTCTCTGAAATTTTTTTCCCAAATTTTATCTCATTAGAACATAAACTCCATGAGAACAATGATTTTACTGTTTTATTTACTGTTGTATTTTCTGGACCCAGAAAATGCCTGGTATGTAGTAGATTGTCCACAAAACATACTGGTGAATGAATGAATTAATCTTTCCAACTCCCCTGAGATAGAAATATTACTAGCCCTATTCATGGACAAGGAAACTGAGTCTTAGACGAGTAAAGAAATTCCTTAAGATGCCATCGCTGTTTAGTGAAAGAACTTAAGACTCAGCTCTTGCCAATCCCAGAGCTCCTATGTATTAAGTGCTTTGTGTGGCCCAAAGTCCACTGTTCTCATCAAGTTGGGAGTTTTCCCATTCAAGAGTGTAAAAGCCTATAAATTAACCTGTTGAGAGCATGCTACCTCTCTGAATGCCATTTTGCTTAGAAAACAAAATATTTAACTATTCAAAGGAATATCCTGAGGTTTATAAAGCAAATAAAATAACTTTTACAATAAAACAAAATTGCATGAATCAAACCTTTTTTATTCATGGTGACTAATTCTGCAAAGAGGAGAAATCCCTAAACAGAGTTGAAACACTGGGGAAGGAAGATTTGAAGATCTTCACTGATTCAACAGCGTGTGAAGTATCACGATTCCTTCAAAGCAATATTCCTGTTCAGAGATTCAGTTATATTTGCTGAATAGAGGGGTGAAGATTGTGTTTCCAGGACCTAAGACAGTGTCTGGTGTATGATAAGGGGCTTAGGTGGTGAGTGAATGAAGTCATTCACCAGTCTGCTGGCAGGTGACATAAATCTGTAGCAATAATCATAGCTAATATTTGTTGAATGTTTGCTATTTTCAGATATTTTTCAATTTTGCATGAATTCATGAATTTCCTTGTTTAATTCTGACAACAGACCATGGGGTAGATCCTAGTGATACTTTTGTTTTACAAATAGGGAAACTAAATTTGTCAAAGAGCAGCCATAGTGTAGGGTCTGTGTTTGAACTTGAGTCTATTGCACTGCCAAACCTGGGTTCCAGTCCTCACAAGCCTGCATCGTGAACCCTCCAGCTCTCCTACCAACTCCATCCCCAAAACCTATTTAAACTCTAGCCTTGGGTTCTAAGTATCCCTCTAGCATGAAGATTAATTAGTTACCAAAATTGCTCTGAAGATTATCATCAGGAACACTACTTAGGATACTAGCTTTGGAATTGGGGGAAAGGGGTGGGTGGTGGGAAGATGTGGGTTGAAGTGTTGAGTGTTGACTTAGGGCTGAAGGGAGACAGGTAAATACTACCGGTTGTTGCTAAGAAACATGCAAACTGATTATCTCACCTTCCCTCATTTATGCAGGATCCAGGTTTTCCGGGCTTCTCTTCCCTTTCCACGTTGCCCTTGACATTTATGTTAATTGTATTTCACATGGATGGAAGTGAGGAAGGATGGTAAACATGGTGCAGGTTTTTAGGTTGAGAAGCGCCCGAGAGGAAGGCAAACCAGCTAATAGAGTTTCTTAACAATTTCAGTCCAGTGTGTGCATTTATTCCAATTCTCAGCAGCACCTGAACACACAAATGCTTCAAACACAAACTTCATTCTCACACAGATTGCCCTCTCTCCTATAATTTTCTGTCCAGAAAGAGATTAATTATATACAGAGGAGAAGGAGGGAGAGGATATTGACAAAGCAGTGCCTCAGGTGCAGGATCCTTTTTGTTGTTGTTCACAGTGAGTGGCCTTTATTTTTATGATTTGTAGAAAACTGACATTTAGATTTCAAAATTTAATTACAAAATTATCAGCAGCAGTTTCCAGCATTTCAACAATGTCGACACAAGCAAGGTTATTATTATTCCAGGTTCACAAAGCAAGACCTGGCCGACGAGAGCCTTCTTGTCACCCACCGGCCACACTGCTCAGGATCTGTTTGTGACCGTGTGTTCTTCCATCTCCTCTTCGATTCTCTGCCAGGCATCTGACTGGACTGCAGCCCCCCTTTCACCTCCCCACTTCATCCAGAGTCCATGCATTCGCTGTAGCATCCTTTATCGCTTTGACATCCCCTGGAGATGGCCCACCTTTCTTTTTGTCAGTTGACAAACCAGCACCTGGAATACAAGTTTTGCTTCTGCCAATATCCTTTGCAAGCTGTGCCCCATGTGCCCTTGAACATTTTCTTTGCTTCCTGATGCTCTTTTAGTTTCAGTTTCTGGAAATCCAGTACTCTGACCCGTAGAATTTTGTAAATTACATAAATCTGTAATGCTTCTTATTTGTTACAGGATTTCTTAGAATACTTAGATAAGTCAGAGATCTGAGCGAGGCCCAAGGGTCCAGGTCACGCAGTTCCGCAAGACTGTTGTGGGTGAGAATGAGTTCTGTTGAGACAGGGCAGAACCTGATCAAGCCCCTCGCCTATACGGCATAGTCTGTTGTTGCTCACTAATAATGTTTTCAATCTTCTCAATAAAGGAAAACCATCCAGTTTCCTGATCTCATTGTCAGAAAAATCAATAGCATCAAACTGGTCTAAAGCAGCACCTAGGTTTTCAATGACAGGAGCTTTATACTTGAAGGCCCAGCTCCGGTCCCGCAAGCCATCGGTGTATTGTGCCACCTGCTCCATCAGCTCTGCCGTCAGCCACCCCACACTGCAGCCGCTGCCTGCCTCCCAGGGCCTTTTTTTTTTTTTTTAAGGTTTACTTATTTATTTAAAAGTCAGAATTACACACAGAGAGAGGAGAGGCAGAGAGAGAGAGAGGCTTTCCATCCAATGGTTCACTCCCCAATTGGTCGCAACAGCCGGAGCTGTGCTGATCCAAAGCCAGGAGCCAGGAGCTTCTTCCAGGTCTCCCACGCGGGTGCAGGGGCCCAAGGACTTGGGCCATCCTCCACTGCTTTCCCAGGCCATAGCAGAGAGCTGGGTCAGAAATGGAGCAGCCAGGTCTCAAACCGGCATCCATATGGGATGCTGGCACTTCAGGCCAGGACATTAACCTGCTGCACCACAGCCACTGCCTTCCCCTCAAAGGGTCTTTATTTAATATGAACAAAGAATTCTTGAGAATTCTATGCTCTCGGCACTAGGCTGAGCATAGAGGTTACGATGAAGCTCACATTTGTGTGCAGAAAATAGAGATATAAACCAGTCCAGAGTGCTAAGCACCATGCAGTCCTGTATCCAGCGTGCTATGGGAAGGCCTGGAAGGGGGATGTGACCTCCTTATTGCAGTCTGGGGACAGCAGTGAGAACCAGCAGAGACCCAACAATCTTCCATAGCAGTGCCTTGATGTTTTCTCTCACTCTGTGAGGGCTACAGCCTGGGCTCTGGACATCTTGTTCCCATGCAATTTAACCAGAGTCGCAGGGACAGGGGACAGCGGAGGAGTGGGCTACCACCAGTGATTAAAATGACACTGTGTTTTCAACATGTGGAGTACTAGATAGAGATAATACAGCGGAGTGATGCAGTGCGTGGTGTCTGGATTCGGAGCAACTCAGTTGAAATCCTGGCTCTGCCACTATGTGATGACAGCAAGTCACTTAACCCCTCTCTGATTCCTTGTCCTAGTCTGCTAAATGGGGCAAAAACTTGTCTCTGACTCTTAAGGTCATTGGACAGATTAGATGAGAGTAATGTACAAAAGCACTTCGAATAGTCTTGGATACCCCAAGTCCATGCCGCTTTATGTGATAAGGTTTCAGTGAAATTTCAGGTTGTTATTTTTATGTAGTCTTTCATTATAAAGGAATTGTGAGTGTATAGTGCCATCTTAAGGATAATGCAACCAGACGGTCTTGTCATTTTGTCATCTTTTTCATGGCTAGAGGTGCAAGACTCATCTTAACCTCCTGCTGGGCATTGCCTTCCCTTGGTTCTTCCCACTCCAACCAGTGTTCATTGTTCTGTGCTGCATACCTCGTATACTCACCCACACCAGCAAAATTAATCATCCTTACTTAACCCCTTGTTTGTATTCCATCTCTCAAGAATGACCACTTACTCACTTTTGTGCTGCCCGCCCCCCAACTGCCCAACATACTGAAATATTTCTGGGTTAAATAAATGAATGCTCAGAAAAATAATTTAATTAGTACAAACATGGACTAAAATTCACATGAGTTCCCAGGATCATAAAGGAAATAAAAGTTCACTTAAGTCCATTGAGATTTCATTGGTCCTTTATCTGTTAGGACATGACTCTCCCTAGATAATCCATCCTCTCACGTTTCATAAGTTAACAGGGTGCTCATATTTAGTATTAATAATGCAGTGAAATTCAAACCCAGTCTCCCAAAGACTGAAAAACTAAAAAAGAAAGAGCGAGGGCAGAGACGGGGCAGATGGAAAAGGAATGTGAGAGGGACTTCACAGTTTATTCCTGTTGGTAGCATAGAAACATATTGCTGACCCACAACAGGACATTTAAAACTGAAGCGATTTATGCTGAAAACATGAAGCTATTGCGGATGGATT